GGGGCCCCCCCGGAGCCTCACCCTGCCATCCAGAGGCCCTGTGAGCCTGGCCGGCCACATTCCCAGAGGACCCGGGCTGGATACACCCCTGCCTGGCCAGGAGCTGGGGAGATAGGCCGCACTGCCTGGCAGGCCTGGGCCCAGCATGCTCCGTCCCGTGGCCACCACGGCCCTGCAGAGTACCCTGGGGGCTGCTGGCCACCCTGTGCCACCCAGGCCGACCCCCCAGGCACTGACCTCGTTTGTGTAGCCAGCCCTCCTTCACGACAGCCACGTCGTCCATGGCGCCCGGGGCTCTCGCCGGCTGCAGGGGCCGGGCCTCCCTCACACGCCTGGCCTCTCACGCAGGGCCTCCCGTGCCCAGCAGCCTGGCCGTAGCCTCTGGAAGAACGAAGGATGCATGTGAGTCATGTCCCCCTGCCCGGGGTGGTCCTCAGGTCCCTGACAACCCCCGCCCTCCTCACCCTCTGGCCACCTGCTTCCCCTTCACAGCGCATTCCGCCTCCGGCTACAAACCCTGCTCCTGGACTGCTCCCCAGGCCCTCAGCTCGCTGGCCCTGCTCACCTCCCCCACCCCACCTCCCTGCCCCAGAGGGCCTCCCTAACCTGCTCACCCAGCTAAGAGGCCGCCTCCTCCAGGCAGCCTGATTGCCCTGCCCCCAGCCTCTGGTGCTGAGTGTCCACCCTGTCCAGGGCATTTCCACACCTGAGCTGGACCCTTGCGGCAGGCACAAGGCCCTACTTCCCACACCCAGAAAGCAGAGAAACGCAGGGAGGAGGGCAGGGAGGGCAGTAGATGGTGCCGAGGAGAGCCCCAGGCCCCCACGCGTCTCCTAAACCTCCCACAGGCACCCGGCCCCTCCTAAACCACAGCACCCCTGCCGCCTGAATCCGCTTCGTTCACTAGGAAACGTGTACCAGAACTCTGGTTTTGCCAGGCCCAGGTGGGGACTGAGAGGGTCAGACAACCTGGTGGGTTACAGGCCACAGCATTCGGGGGGGCGGTGGGCACAGCGCATGCCCGCCTGTGGGCCCCCACCGGCTCTTACTGGAGCACATTCGGACTCTGATCCTACGTAGCCTGCCCACTGCTCTCTGGCCATCCCTGGAAACCCGGTTCTGGTGTAACTAACCGGCACCCTGAGAAAAAGCATGGCATCCTTCCTGTGGGCAGGCCTGTGCGCCTCGCCAATGGGCCCTCAGGGGCTCCCCCAGCCCGGCAGTGCCCGGGCTGCTGGGGAGGGGAGTGAGGGCTCCAGCAGGGGTCTCCCACCAGGCCAAGAGCGCCACTTTGCACCAATGGCCTTAGGCTGACTTTGGGCAGCAGGAAGGCCCCTGCTAGGCCACAGGCTGCGGGGGAAGCAAGGGGGACTGGGGGGGGATCCTGTGCGGGGACAGGGACCGGTCAGCACTGTCTGCCTGGGTGCTGGGATACCAGGAGGGCGTGGCCTGGAGGCAGAGGGCTGGTCCCAAAGACCTCTGGCTGTGTCCCCACCCCCAGCAGCCCTAGCCTAGGCTGCTGACAGAGTCCGACAGCTGTTGGGCCTGTGTAAAAATATGTCTGTGCACACATGGGCGGGGGCGAGCGCAGGGTCCCATCCCACCAGGGTCCCATGCGCCAGGCCAGCGAGGCCTCGCCGGGTCACGGGCAGGCGTGCCTCCTCTGCTCTGCCCTGCTCTGCCCTGCACGTCGGGGCTCCTGCTACATTTCCGACACTTTAAAAACTGCCTGTGTACTGCAGGGGCTGGCGGCCGGCCTCCCGGACTCGGCTGAGTGTGCCTTAGCTACAGGCAGGGACCCCGCCCCACCCTCAGCGGGATGGGAGCTAGGGGCAGGCAAGAGAGGGCCAGGGCAGGCAGCGAGGAGTGCCGGGGCCCTTGGCCAGAGAGCCAGGCCCGGAGGCCCAGACCCCCGTGCTGCCCCCAGCCTGCCCCAGCTCCCTGCTCTCCCCGGGGCCCTCGTCCGCGGGGCAAGCCCAGAGTCCCAGGCCCCTCAGGCCTCTGGGATGGGCGCGCAGCACCTCCGGAGCCCACCCAGGAAGGAAGCAGCGCAGGGCCCAGGAGGGCAGCCCTTGTCGGCCAGCCCGGGCACCCTGCCACCATGTGCGACTTCTGCCCTGGGAAACGCGCTCTCCTTCCCAGGGCCTACCCGGACTGCCCCGGAGCGCCCCCGCTACCGCTGGCCCAAGGCTGAGCCCCCTCTGGGATGGGCGCGCAGCACCTCCGGAGCCCACCCAGGAAGGAAGCAGCGCAGGGCCCAGGAGGGCAGCCCTTGTCGGCCAGCCCGGGCACCCTGCCACCATGTGCGACTTCTGCCCTGGGAAACGCGCTCTCCTTCCCAGGGCCTACCCGGACTGCCCCGGAGCGCCCCCGCTACCGCTGGCCCAAGGCTGAGCCCCCGGCCGGGCGCGGCGGCCCCGAGCACATGCCCCGCGCGGCGCCTCCGCGGCCCAGGCCTCCC